CCCAAGTCCTGGCTCCAAAGACAGTCCAAATTCTTCACATCTCCCTGCACCCACACCTTTGCCAAGTAGCTTCACAGGGCCTCTGCTCCAGTGTGGGTGCTCACCCATGGCTCCCTTGAGCAGGCACAGCACAAGCAGGCTCCCATACCAAGACTGCTTCCTTTTTGTGCCTCTGCCATTGCTGTGAGATCAGACCTAGATAAGCCTGCAGAGATCAAAGATACCTGGAGCAGAACAGAACTGCTGCCATCCCAATCAGGGTCATACCAGGTCAGCCAACAGCCAGCCAATGCCAGAGAGCCTGCCAAGATCAGCAGAGTACCTGACCTGGGCCCACTGAACCCCATGGCACCTGAGGAATGAGTAGTTATTGTTTTGTGGTTATTTGCTGTGGTAAAGATGACTGATAGACCCTAACTCACCAGGTGGTATCACCTGCTTTGAGATATGCCACAACTCCTCCAGCAACTGAGACTCAGAGAGCTCAAGGGCTTATTTAAGGTCACATTGCAAGTTAGTGACCTGCCCCCGTAGGCAAGTCAGTCTCCGCCCTGCCACAAGGGAGCCTGTGGTCTTGTGAGGAGGACACAGGTAGCCAGATCACTCTGACTGATTTGGGGAAAGGAGACAGATGTTTCAGATTGTGAGGAGAAAGGAGCAGTCATGCCAAGCCATGAAGGATGAGATTAGTTTCTGTCACAGGACAGTGAGGAAGCAGGGAGGGCCAGCCTTCTTAGTGGGAGGGCTGGCAGGAGCAAAGGAAGGGCTCTCCTGGTCCACTCTGACCATGTAGTTGCCATTCCCCACACCACGACTCCTCAGGCCACCCTCCCATCCAATCCATCGGGCACCAGCAGAGAAAAAATGACCAAATACAGAGAGCCCAGGCCATTGAGCCCTGCATGCTATGAACCCCACCACTTTCAAAGCTCCCATAAGCCCATGCAGAGAGGATCCCATTACTCTCCTCCAAAGAGGAGCAAACTTCAGTCCAGAGAGGCTCTAGAACATGCTCAAGGCCACCTAACCTCTAGGCGACAGAGTCAGAGTCCGAACCCAGTTCTGTGAGATTCCAAAGGTCAGTGTTTCCTCAGGTAAATAGGACAACTCCTTATAGAATGGTCCCAGATGATATTTATACCTTGGCATAGCCCAAGGGCCTTGTAAACACTATTATTGAAGTGTTTGCACTAAAACAACTGCCAGAGAACTTTAGGATTTGCATCTGCCAGCTCCAATAACTCTGAACCTGTGGCCTCAGTTGTGGGCACTGTCCTAGGCTCAAGCCCTCAGCCTGTGCCTTGTGGGGTTTGGCTGGCCTCCCCACCAAGGTGGAGGTGCTCCCAGCTTGTCAGCAGCCACTTTCCTCCTGAAACTATGAAATTCCAAAAGCAAAGTAGACAAGGCCATTATTATTCCCAGGATGCTAGGCTCATACCTCTGGCTCACCAGTCTTGAGCATCTTCTCCTGACATCCACAAGCACCTCCAACTCAGCATGTCCCAAAACTTGGCAATCTCCCAGCAAACCTTTTCTCCAGGGCTCTCTCCCCACTGTACAAGCAATAAATGAGGTCACAACATGCCTTCCTCCTGTCCCCCATCAGGTGGGCCCCATCTGCCTCCAGAGTACCCTAGTGAAACACCTCTTGCTAATTTATGAATGTGAGTTGTAGAGTCAGACATTAGCTATGCATCCTTAGGCAAATCACTTTGCTTCTCTGAGCCTCAGTTTCATCATTTGTAAAATGGAATAATAAATTCTATACTCCATTAAAAAGTAGGATTTTATGACACATATTATAACTGCTCAAGAAAGGGCAATTGTTTTGACATTGTTGTCCTTATAATTAGTGTGTGTCTATTAGCACCTCTCTCCTTCCCTTCTTATCCAGAAGGATCTGCTCAATTGGTATGAGTTGGACCCATCTCTCCACAAGACCCAGATCCAACTAAAGGGAGCTGACCCACTCCTCAAGTTCCCACCAGATTTCTGTCATGGGAAATTATGTTCTCTCCTCTGAGAGTGGCCAGGACATGTGCTACAAGGACACCATGAGCCAGAGCTCCTGGGACCATCCTGCCCATGTGTGGAGACAGATCCACCTAAAGTGAAGCTGAGGCAGCAGAAGCTGAGAGCCTGGAGAGACAGGCCCTTGTGTGCCTGGATGCATCCATGCCTGAAGGTGTGGCTCTTCCTGGACTTTTTATTGACTGAAGCCAGTAAATTGCTTCTTAACTTAAGTTCATTTAGATTATGCTTTATCAAGTGCAAACCTTCAGGATCCTAACAAAACATGATTATTGGAGGCAGGAAAGTACCTCAGAACCAGAAGGCATCAGAGAGAGGAGCTCCCAGGATGTAGGAGCCCCACAACTCATTGACCTGGCCAGGCCTTTGTCAGGAAGGACCCCCAAGCCAGAGGGCCCCTGGACATAGCTCCTGAAGTACCTGAGAGCAGAAGTTGTAACACCAGCTCACAGTGGTGGCTATGGAGGGGCTCAGTGCCAGCTGTCACTTTTTTTCTACAGTGTACACTTGTGCACTGGGCACCATCCCAGGAGCTGTGCATACATGACCACACGTTTCTCTCAATAACCTCTCTGGGAAGTGGAGTCAAATGTTCTACCCATTTTGCTGATGAGGAGATCAAGGCACAGAGTTCAGATAACCTGTCCAAGATCATCCAGCTGAGACATGGCAGAGTGAGCATGTGCTGTGCTCATGCTGGGACTCACAGAGCCACACAGACATAGCCACCTGTGGTCCTTTGCCTGCCTGTTCCAGAAGGTCTTATGGATGACTAGGAGCCTCTTATGCCCAGGTAAGAAGTGAGGCCCAGAGCATACAGCTCCCTCTGAAGTAGGCTCAAATACAGCAGGTCTTTTCCCAGGAGCCAACCTGCAAAGGGAACTACAAGAAACCAGAGGCTGTCCCTCTGTTGATGTCCACCTCCTGAGATGACTCCCACCCTGGCCCCCCATGCTGGATATCCCTGCCAACTCCTTGAGAACATCCATGGCCCAGCCTAGGGCCCTGCCAGGTTAGAGAGCTCAAGGACAGAAATGTGCCTGGCCCATTCCATGAGCCCAGAACTCCTCCAGGAGCCTAGCAAGGGCCAGTGGCTGAGATAGAGGTGCCTCCAGGAAGGATAAAGCATTCAGGAGGACAACTGTCACCAGAGAACAGTGTAAGGTGCCATTGGGCACATGAAGAGAGTATGGTGTATCTTCTTCCCAGGCCAACTCCCAGCCCCTAGCAATGTCAGACTCAAGCCCCCACCCCCTGAGCTCTCCCCCAGACCCTCATCTCATAATTCACATACAGCCTAGGGCAGATGGCAGGGTACAGGTTCCCTGCCGTGATCATCCTCAGCTCCAGACAGCAGACTGAACCCCACTCGCCTCTGAAGTGGTGGCACTTGGTTTCTAACCCAGAGTGGGCATATGCTGTCATGCATGGGACTCAGCTGGACAGCCCAGGTTTATCTTCTGGACATCATAACCAATCAGATTTTACCAGCAGGATAATCAGGGCAAAATCTACAGCTGTTCCAGGGCCCAAGTAGAGAACGCTGCACCTGTACTTTGTCCTTGAATGGGAAGTGTGTTTTTCCTCCTGTTTTACTTTTCCTTTCGCTTGCAGTATCTTCTAGCATTCCAAAGCTTCCTGAAAGAAGCCTGAAATCTACTCTGGAACAAGGCTGGACATGCACTCACAGACATGGACTCACACACACACATACACATGTATATACATATTTGGCATTTGCCCTGCATGTCATGACAAACATAGCACATGTGTCAAGACTGGACACATGTCTCCATTGAAGAAATTGAAGTTCAGAGAAGCAAAGAGACTTGAGATGCCTATCTGCTGGCTGGTTGCACCCCATCTTTCTCCAGAAAGGATCAGAAGCAGTAAAAAATGGACTGACCCAAAGGTGGCCCTCCAGCTTCAGAGCAGGGTCTGCCCTTGGTATGAGTAGCCCAGCATTATAACATCCAGCTTAGCTCTAGAGAGGACCTGGGCACTACAAGCAGACTCTGCTCCTGGAGATCCTGGCTGAGCACCAGGGAGTGCAGGAGCACCCACGCCAGGAACAAGTCAGAGCCCAGGCTGGACTTGAGGGATGGGGGTGGGCCAAGAAGGAGGATGCCCAGAGCTGTGGCAGGTGAAGACTAGTGCTGGGCAGAAGTAACAGCATGAGGCAGGACTAGCACGGGGCACCTTCATCCTCAACTGGGCTCTTACCAGCCCCAAAGAGCAGCAGACAGGACCTCCTATAACTTCCTATTACCTTCCCAAATCCGGAGTGACAGCGTGGGAATGACACTGGAAAGTAGTCACCCAAGCCTCTTTTGATGAGGTCTGAGGGAGGAACAGGAAATGCCCAGGGTCACAGAGCAAGTGGCCAGGGTACTGCCTACTAGGCTTTCCCCTCTCCTTGGCCTGGATCCCAGGCCTCGTCCAACTCCAAGATGCCACCAAACACCTCTGCTACATCCAGGCACTGGAGCCCTGAGGTCTCCTGGCCTGGCTCCCAGGCTCCCCAACCACTCCAGAGCCCACCATCCCTCCAGGCCTGCCTCAGACTCCCAAAGGGATGGAGACTTGCTATACCAGGGACACCTCTCAGACCAGACCTCTGATCCCTCAGCCATCCCCACCCAAGGGTATCCACATGCTCAGCTAAGATGGATAGGAGAAATATTCTTTAAGTCAATGGAGAGTGTAAACATGTCTGTGAGAGGGCCCAGGTACCTGTGGGAGGACCTACACAGCCCAGGAAGGGAAATACATTGGCCGAGAAGCCGGGTGATGGGTGTATTCTTTAGATACCACACTCAAAGGGGACTTCCCAGGAACTGTCATCTGCTCAGCCCCAGGTCCTGAATGCCCTACCTTTCTCTCTGCTGTTGTGCAAAAGGACAGAATGAAATATCTTTAAATTCTCCCAAAACAAGTAGTTTTCAGTAAGTCCACACTGCACTCATTTATTCATTTCACAAAGGTTTATTGGGCGTCTCCTTGGTACTGGTTCCGGTTAGTCACTGCAGAGGATCCTGGCTCAGCAAGCCTGGAAGGAGCAGTTCTGTAGTGGGCAGCAGACACAGAAATCAGTGGTGAAACACACCCACTGTCCAGTAATAAAGGACAACTGAGGGAGCACAGTGAGCTGGTGGCCAGGGAGAGCTATGTTTCCCCTGTGGGGCCCAGGTGACAGTGAGGACATAGGAGGAGGAATGAGAGTCTCTAGGGGGAGGGAGATAGATGGGAACAGGGAACAGCATGAGTGGAAGCTCAGAGGAAGGAAAGGAAGAAAAGTACTTGGGAACTCTTTCAGCATCAGGAGGCCATTGCAGGGAGGGGAGATAAATGGCCACGGCCAAAAAGGGCTGGGACCCAGGCCCAGGGAGACTCAGGGGAAGGGCTCAGAGGCACAAACCTGGAGCTCTCCAACTCTCTTCTCCAGGTGTAGGGGATGGACAACCTCCTCTTTGAAGCCTTCAGAAATCCTGCAGGGAACACAGAGGGCTACTGGAACACCCTACCCCAGTGGGAAGTCTCAGTGACAACCTCTCTGGGCCCTCGGTTTTGCTATACTAGAAGAGAGACAGAGGCTATTCCCATAGCACACTCACCTACCACACCCCATGCTGGGTCCACCAAGCCCACCCCTGCACAGACAGCCCCAGCTTCTAGAGCAGTGGTTCTCAACCTGTGGGTCATGACCCACAGGAACTGTATTAAAGGGCCGTGGCATTAGGAACGTTGAGAACCACTGCTCTAGAGGATGTCTTGAGAGCAGGAGGCCATCCAAAGGCCAACCCTCCCCGGCTGTGCCAGGGCCCTGCTGCCTGTCCCCTCCCCCAGCCTCTCTCCAAGTTGCTCCTGGACACCAAAGGACCCAGTCAGACTTGTCCCTCTTTTTCTTTCCCCTGCCCGCCCCCTGCTGGAGTTGTAAGAAGGCAGGCAAGAAGGAGGGCAGGAGAGGCCTAGTCCCCCACAGCAGAGCCTGCCAGGCCCTGGACCATGCCTGGCACTCCACCAAGTCCTGGGTGGGTCTTGGCCTTGGGCCAACACTCTCCCTCCTGACCTCTGAGATGGGACAGACCAGTGTGAGCAACAGGCAGGAGGGGCCAGTGCCACTTGGAGCTGGGAGTACAGCCCTAGAGCATGACAGGGGGCACTGGGGCTGCTCTGGAGAAGAGAGGGTCTAGAAGCACAAGGACAGTAACTTGGAGAAGAGCATGCTAGCAGGAGTCACTAGTATCACCTGGACTTTGGGTCTGTCCTCATCTGCACAAAAAGCTGTGGGAGCCAGATGGACCTGAGCACCTTGTCCAGTGTTCTGGAATCCTGAAGTATGGAATACAGTTTGTCTGCCCAAGAAACAGCAACAGATCCCCAAGTACAGATGAAAGCCCTAAGAACAAGTGCTGTTCTCCTGACAGTCCCCAGGGCTAGAAGCAGCATGGATCCAGGTGCTACCAATTGGGCTAGGCCCAATCTTACATCAGCCCATACACATGCCTTCCACATGCATGCACAGGCACTCAGGCAAATGCACACAGAGCACATACAGACACGTGTACACATACGCACACACACGCACGCGGACATACACATATGCACACCACACCCCACTAGATTCCAGGCAGCACAAACTCTCCCAGCCCACAGTAACTTATTCATTTTCTGAAACTAAATGTGGGAAGAGGGCTAGGGGAACTATCCCATGTCTCTGTCCCAACTGCTAAGTAGGCAAAGCAGGACACAAGCCCTACACTGGCACCTCCCAGAAATCAAGGAGTCAAGGCTTGACAGATTGTCCAACAAAAGTTGGAACCCCCCCATCCCACATCTTCTGGCCTCTGCCCAGGAAAATGCAACCTCAGAAGACCCCCAAACTTCTTCCCAGAGTCCTGCCAAGCAGGAGGCTTCTCTTTCCACTTCTCCCCGCCCCCACCCCTGTAAAAGGGACCAGAAAAGGGGAAAATTACCTAACTGAGAAGTGCCCTGCTGGAGTAGGGGGCAGGTAACTCCCCGCCCCCCAGATAGGTTTGGCTAACGGAGGATTCTCTAGACCACCTGAAAGACCCTACCCAGGGTGGTGAGGGGCAGTTTAGGGGCACTAAGAGGAATAGGAGAAACAAGTTTGGCTTCCCTTAGGTAAGAAGTTCCTGGGGTATGCCCTGCTGCCCTGAGCAGCGGAGAAATCGACTGATTGAAGAAGGCGAAAAGAGGGCACGTTCACGTGCCCCCCCCCCCGTCTTCCACGCACACTCAAGGGCTTGACCTGTGAGAGCCACGGGTCTTGTGGGGAACTCATGGGACAGAGGATCCTACCAGAGCCGCGAAAACCGGAGGGAAGAGTATCTGCCCAAAGCGAGCATCTACTTGCACGCCCGTTGAAGCCCTTGTCCTGCTGTTGACTTCTCCGAACTTGTTTCTTCGCTGCCAAAAGCGATTCGCCAGCGACCTGTAGAGCCCAGCCAGCTCCTACTTCGGCCCCCGGAGCGAGCGCAGTCTCTGTCCCAAGAAGAAGTTAGGCAGCTGGTCCCCTGGGAGGGAGGCGCACGGGACGCGGGCGGCGGCAGCCTCGGACTCTGGCTCAAGCCCTGCCGCTCCAGATAAGTCCCCGCGACTGCGAAAGCGTCCCGGGCAGCTCAGCTCTCCAGACGGCGGACAGACCGCTGCAACCTGGTCCAGGCCTTGCCCTGGGGGATACAGCGGTCCAAGGCGAAGCGGGACTTGCTCCTGGCCTCCGGGACCCTAGGTCAAGGCACTGCCCCGCCCTCCGCCCCTGAGCCCAAGTCGCCGATCCCGTGCGGGGCGCAGCGAGGGATCAGAAGGTCTTGGACTCGGCGGCAGGGCAGGCCAGGGCCCCATGGAGTTTGGGAGTTGCCCCGCACCCCTAAAAGCCTCAACACATATTTACGGTTGAAAGTACGCACTTTACGCGTCCGGGCGCCTCCGCGGTGAGTCGGGCCGCCGCGCTCGGGGTCCACGAAGGTGGCTCAGTTCGGGCGCTCCAGTCTCGACGTTCCCGGGGCAGAGAGCAACGTCCGGGGACGAACGGGACGGGTGCGCCCGGCGGCCGGGGCTGCGCTGGGAGAGGCAAGCGGCAAGAGGGGAGCGCTCCGGCGTTCAGGCAACAGCTACCCCTAGTGGGAGAGCCGCCCGGGGCCGGCGCCGCCCCGTGCCCGCTGCCCCGCGCCCCGCGTCCGCAGCGCCCCGCGCCCGGGGCGCTCCCGGATCGGCTGGGAGCGCAGAGCCGGCGCCGCTTCCCCCTGCCCTCCCCGTCTCCGGCGCCCCGCGCTAACCAGCCCGCGGGCCCTGCCCTGAGCACCTCCTAGCTGGGCCCCCGCGGCCGCTGACCCAAGAACCGCGGCGCCCGGCTGGAAGGAGATGGGACGGGGCGGGCGCGGCCGGGGCGGTGCAGGCTAGAGCGGCGCGCGGCAGCCTCGGGCAGCGGCGGGGGGCGCGGAGCGCGGTGTGCGTGGCGGGGCGGTGCGGGGGGCGGCCGTGTGCAAGGCGCGAGTGTGAGCGCGCGCGGGAGGCAAGCGGGCGGGCTCCAGCAGGAGAGCGGCGCCCGCGGGCGAGCCGGGAAGGCGGCGGGAACCCAAAGTTGCCTCCTCGCGGGCCCGCGTCCTCGGCGGGGCGGGAGCCGGTGCCACCGAAGCAGCGGCCGGGGACCTAGACTCCCGCGGCACCTGGGCAGCAGCCCCGCACGAGCGGCGGCGGCGTGGGCGGCGTTGGCGGCGGCGCGCGGGAAGCGAACCGGAGCTCCGGCGCTGTGCGGCGGCCGCCGGGGAGCTCAGCTCAGGTGCGCGGCGAAAGGGGCGCGGGCCGGAGCCAGGCTGCGGGGGCTAGGGCAGCGCGCAGTACTCGCTTTAGCTGGAGGACCTCCACGGCAGACGCCCAAGTCCCTGGACTGGCTCCTGGCCCCCGGCGGCAGCAGCAGCTAGGGTCCCCGCCTGGAGAGTTAGCTACAGGACCCAGGCCCGCCCCCACCAACCCCAAGCCAGGCCGCTCCGCCCTCCGCCCGGTGGTGCCCGCCCTCGGCCCACAATTTCTAGGGCATTGGCCACACTGCTGGGTGATCCCTCCGGGCTCAAGTTGCAAGGGGGCGGGTCTGGGCCGGAGGTGGAGTCTCCCGCCAATTCAAGCCTCGGCTATAAATTGAGCTCCCTGCACCGCCGAAGCCCAGATGTCTCGCCAGGCCGCGTCGCGGTTGGTGGTTGGCGAAGACGAGGGGTCCCAGGGGGCTTTGGGGCCTGCAGCCACCATGCTCCGCTCCCTGCTGCTTCACTCCCTGAGGCTGTGCGCCCAGACTGCCTCGTGCCTCGTGCTCTTCCCGCGCTTCCTTGGCACAGCCTTCATGCTTTGGCTCCTTGACTTTCTGTGCATCCGCAAGCATATTCTGGGTCGCCGCCGCAGGGGGCAGCCCGAGCCTGAAGTGGAGCTCAACAGTGAAGGCGAGGAGGTGCCCCCTGACGACCCACCCATCTGCGTGTCCGACGACAACCGCCTGTGCACTCTGGCGTCGCTCAAAGCGGTGTGGCATGGCCAAAAGTTGGATTTCTTCAAACAGGCTCATGAGGGTGGTCCAGCGCCCAACTCTGAAGTGGTCCTGCCCGATGGCTTCCAGAGCCAGCGCATTCTTGATTATGCACAAGGGAACCGCCCGCTGGTGCTCAATTTTGGCAGCTGCACCTGACCACCATTCATGGCGCGCATGAGCGCCTTCCAGCGCCTGGTCACCAAGTACCAGCGCGACGTCGACTTCCTCATCATCTACATTGAAGAAGCACACCCCTCCGATGGCTGGGTCACCACAGACTCTCCCTACATCATCCCGCAGCACCGAAGCCTGGAAGACCGGGTCAGCGCAGCGAGGGTACTACAGCAAGGTGCACCCGGCTGCTCCCTGGTCCTTGACACCATGGCCAACTCCAGCAGCTCAGCCTATGGTGCCTACTTCGAGCGCCTCTACGTCATACAGAGTGGCACCATTATGTACCAGGGTGGCCGTGGCCCTGATGGCTACCAGGTCTCCGAGCTGCGCACTTGGTTAGAGCGCTACGATGAGCAACTGCATGGCACTCGGCACCGTAGGGTGTAAACAGCCAACAGACAATTAACTGAACTTGGCGGGCTGGGCCTTCGAGCCTTCCATGCCCGCGTGCAAGCACCCCAAAAGAAGTCGTCAAGCTTGGCGAGGCCCCAGTGGCACAGATGCACTGAGCCTTGGATCTCGGGCTAAGTGCACCCTCAGCTACCTGAACACTTTCCCCTACCTCCCCAAGACTCTGCTTCTGTGATTGTCTCTCCTTTATGCCTGCCTGGCTCACTTGAATCCCCTGAGTACCCTTGCCTGTGTGTCCCCAGGACTTACCCCTACAGCACTTTCTCAGACCCATCCCCTTCGCCCTTTTAGCCAAACGCTTTGCCCCTGCGCCTCCCAATGTACAGAGACCTTGGCTGTGCCTGCCCACCCCAAGCGCAGTTGGGTTCCCAAAGGCTTCAGCTCTGCTTGAGCTAGTTGCCTGGCACCCACCTGTCGCGCGCGGGGAAGAGGCTCCCTGCTGCTTTTGTGTCTATTTCTTGTTCCTGAGTTGGGGATGGGGACGGGGTGGGCAGGGTAGTTCCCCCCCTTGTTTTGGGTGCGCAGGAGCCCCTCTGCTGATGACGAACTGTCTCTAACTGGTTCTCACCACGGGTTGGTTCTGAATTGCAGGGGACTTGAAGCAGTGCCTAAACCAGAGGGGGAAAGTGCTCTGGGTTTCCGTGAGGAAACCACTATAAATGGGATGGGAGGGAGGTTGGGAGGGATGTGCTTGGGACCAGAGGAAGATGGCTTGAGAGGCTTTGGCGAGGTTCGCAGCGCCCCAGGGAGAGAGAAGAGGCTGAGACTCCTGGGGAACGGGTTTGGGTAGGGAGTCGGAGGAAAGAGATGGGGGGAGAGCCTGGGTCCCCCAAGTGAAGGGAGTCCTGGGCAGAGCTGCCGATTGTGGGGCCAGGAAATGGAGGGCTCCTGATTTGAAGGCCATTTGATGACTGTTTTGCTGGAAATTTTTCCTGTATATAAACTTCTTTTAAGCTACAATAATAAAGGTTTGAAGTGAACTGCCTTCTGGTTGCCTTTGGTCCCTTTATTTTCTATTCCTTCTGAATAGCGGCAGGAATTAAACACAAATCTCTCCTTCTCGTCCCCATAGTGACCCTGGGGAGAAGGGGGGAGGGGAGAGAGCCTAAGCTGGCAGGGGGGCGGTTGGGGGTGGAGCGAGAAGAGGGTCTGCAGCGGCACTCGGCTCTTGTGTACAGCAAGCAGGCACCTGAGCCCGGAACTTGGGGGAGGGAGAAGAGAAAGAAAGCTGAGCCCGTGGGAGTGGGGGGATAGTGGCTGGGGATCCCCACTTATCACTGGGCACACGCACACACCAGCGAACAGTTCAGCTGCCCTGCAGCCGCTCGTCTAACTTTTTGGAGCATCCAGCCAGGTGTGTGTGGCAGGTGAGAGGGGTGGTGTGGAGGGCGAGATGGGGCTTTAAACCCAACAGAACTCGGTTTGTGCCAGCCGCGAACGCCACCGCGCACCAGACACCTCCCTCACCCTCTTCCCGCACCTTCAAAATCGTCTCCCACCAACCCCGGCCTGGCTGCTTGGGTCGGTGGGGGACGTGCGGCAGCGACAGCTACAGAGCTCCAGCAGCAGATCCTACTGCCGGGCCAGGAGTGCTGCAGAGAGTGCCCCCTGCCCAAGACTCCCCTCTGCCTGCCTCTGCGCAACTTCCCCAAGCTCCAGCCCTACCTCCAGCCCCCAACCCGCTCCGGGCGGAGAAGCAGACACCGCAGCGAGGTGGAGGAGCGGAGAGAGACCAGAAAGAGGAGGGTGGCCGCATGGGGGAGGAGGAGTGGGGGACGGGGCCTTTGGCACAGGTCCCCCAGCAGTCACGGCCTGGAGCTCCAGCACAGTCCCCTCCTTCATTCTCTCCCCGGCTGTTTCCAGAACCAGCGCTGGATTTAGCGCAGGGCCGCATTTCCCTCGCCAGTGACACCTTAAGAGTGAGAGGTGGTGGGGGCCGAGGGTGAGGGGTGCTAAAGTTGCAGTGCTACGATCTGGGCGAGGGGACAGGACTACCGAACTTCCCTGGCTGGGTGGGGCAAGCCCTAGGAACCCAGGACGGTCCCGGCCGCAGGGCTGAGGTGCAAGGCACTGTCGGTGCCCGCCTTGGTGCGGGCACGCTGCACGTGAAGGAGTGTGGGTGAGTGGCGGCGCGGTAGGCAGAATCCAAGAGACTAGAGACTAGACGCCCCTGTTCCGCCAACGCCCCCCCAATTCTGCACCCACACCCGTTGCTGCTCCTCGGTGAAAACTTTTTGGAATTGACACCCTAAATTTGAGTTTTTGTTTTTTTGTTTTTTTTTTTTTGCCTTAAAAGTATCCCAAGTCGAAAAATAACTTTTAAGAAAAAAAAAATTGGCACTGATGGAATTTTGCCCCTCCTCCCCAAAGCGCCGGCTTCTCCTCACCCAGACACTCCCCTCCGCTCCAGGAGGAATATGAAGAAAGCGCCTGAGACACCACCGGGCGCGGGTAAGGGCCTGGCACTGAGCGCACTGAGCTCCCAGAGCTCCTGGCCTGCTCGGTGGCCGGGGTAGGGGCTTGGTGGCATTGAGGAATCGGAGGGAGGCTGGGGCAGCTGGAGTCGCACTGAGCACAACAGGGAGTGTTCTGGCCGCTCTGGGTCCCCACCAGTTGCTTCCGGGTCTCCTTGGACTACCCCCCTCACCGGGGAGCCTTGCACACACACCACTCCTCTGGCGTCTCCGACTCAAACTCTCTAAGCGCGCTTTGAGGTGTAGCCAGAGGACCTGTAGCTCCAGCCACTCCCCAGGCTGACCGGACAGCTCCAGATCGCTGCTCCAGGGGAGTTAGAATTCCCTCAACTCCTTTTGTTTCTTTCTTTCTCTCTCTCTTCTTGTTCCCTTCCTGCCTTCTTCCTTTCTCTCTTCCTTTTCCTTCTTTGCTTTCCTGTTTCTCCGTTTCCTTTCTTCTTTCTCTTTCTCTCTTTTTCATGAAAATTTCCTCTGTTTAAAAACAGAAAAGTTCAGAAAATAAAATAAACCAACCCAAGGTAACCTCCTGGTGTGTGTACTTTCAAACTGGTCCCTCTCTCTGCCCCCTCCCCCAAATACTTACTTTAAAAACAAAAGGAGAGTTATCCTTTTGTAGCCGGTCATTTACTTTTTACTCCCCAGGCACCCCTCTTTTCATGCACCTGTCTTTCCATGTCATAAGTAGGTCCTGGATGGCATCATACCACACTGTCAATGGGTGACCTGAATGGATCCATGGGTGAATGCTCCAGATGTTAGAA